GTTTGTTCTAAATACCTGCACACGTCGAGAGCACACAATAGACTTTTATCTTGTCACCCGCAGTTCACTCTTTTGAGAAAAACTGCAAGCGGGAGATGATCTACAACAAAGAATAAAAAGGTTAAGTAACTCGATATCGATACAAAGAATTGTAAAACCAGTTCATCATTTATACGAGTTTTGCAAATTAGAAGCGTTACAAACTCAAAAGTACAGGGCGTTGACAGTTCTTTATTTTTTTTTTTTTTTTAGGTTCTTGTATAGGGATGATTGGTTACAATGTAAAAAAACGAGGTCGATATAATGTATAGATGAAGCAAAATCATCTGATTACATCATAATTATTATTCTGCACGTTTTTGTTTTAATTTGTTCTCGCTCTAATCCAGATTCGGCACTTTCTCATGGGCGTTGGCCAGAGATGACAAGAATTGCCTAAAGAAGAAAGGATTGAATGACGACCTAAAAGTTTTAATTTCTCAGAAGAGAAAGTCTTTTTCTGTGTTAAATGATGTCTGTTTACAGAAATGTGTCAGTTGGCTGATGAATACAAACAAGATCAGTTCAACGGTTCGTTAGTGTAACGATTCGATCGTTCAGAAATTCAGAAAATTCATCAAGTTTGACAACCATTCATGTTAAATTTTATAATTAAATTAAGATTATTCAATAAATTAATCATACTTAAATACTAAATCCTCGAATCCTAAGCTGTTTTACTCCCAATTTTGAATTGTTTCGTGATCAAAACCAGTGGTGCATCCACAGGAGGGGGTCAAGGGACCCAGAGAAAAAGTAAAAGAAACTTTCGGCTCCTCCAAAATAAAATCCTGAATGCGCCACTGAAACCAAATATAATATAATCTAGCTTTTGGCTAAGCTATATAACAGGCCCTTCTCCATCCACACGTAAAAATGTGAGGCCCTAAACTGCAGTTTATTTAGCTTATGTACAAATCCGGCCTTGATAATCAGCATTTGGTGGTTATTCAACTTTAAAATGATAATTTTTTTCTCTATTTTATATTAATTTTTGTATATTTTTACATAAAATATAAGCAAATCTTTAAACATTTATAGATGTAAGAGCATCCATGGCTCGTGGATGTGCCACTAATTCGAAAACCATTAGAATTTTGGCTTCCAAATGCTCTTAAAACATTAGTTATTGGCTTACAATCTGACGAAAATTGTCATCAAAATACTGATTTTATCACAAACTAATCCTCTCGATTATAAATTGAAATAGTATAAATCGATAAAACTAGATAATATGTAATACATAAAACATAAGGATCGACATAGAAGAAACTTAGTCTCAGATAGAATAAGATCTCACGTCCTTCGAAAGCACGCAGGATAAACGAGGACAAATTAATCCTGTCTATTACGCCAGACAGGATAAGTGTCTTCGCAATAGTATTGAAGACGTGGGATCGTATCCCACTGAGCCAAACTCATTTTTATCTGTCTAGAATCTCAGTTAGTTGCTTTGGGTGGACATGTAGTTTGTATATTCTATTATGGTTAACACTTATAAGTGTCATTTCGAAATTTGTTAATTTTATGGGGAATAGCAGACTTGAATATCAATAATTTCTAACCCACGTTAAGAGCAATCAAGGATTATTTCCATGTTTCCTTATTATAATTACTTCAAGGCATAGCTTATAATGAGCTTCCATTATGTGTTATTATATTGTTATATAAAGCCGGATTTGCATATAAACTAAATAAGCATGCAGTTTAAAACCTCATATTTTTATTTGTATTATTATTTTATGAAGGGGAAGGACCTGTTATGTATTATATCTTATGGTTAATTAGAATGCCATGAAATTGCTTAAATTTTAATAATTTATGAACACTTTAACATTAGAATCATAAAAAAATTCATCAAATTTACACATTAATCCGAGCGTCACTAATTAATCTATTGTAAAGATATAAATTTCTCACACGTGGGAGCGACTTTCATTATATAGGTACTTAATTTAATTATGAAAGTTTACACTTCTAATAAGATCAACACTAGCGGAATTCTAAAAAGATTAATCAAGTATAATATTGATTTTGATGTTAAATCAACTAATGGAAAAGCTTTTACTAGACATGGCTTCTGGCAATCTTTATCTCAATCTTTGACATAATAGTAATGTATCTGAATGTTAATACTTAGTTTCTCCTGTTCGATGTAATCAGTCATATCTCTGTTCAAAGCGTGTTTATGTTCTTTTCCTCAAAATCAATCATTATAATACATTTAGTAGTTTTACACAATTGAATTTCTTAATTTCCTCTACTTGTAAGCATTATGCGACATTATAGATGTATACGGCTATCATTATATTTTTAAAATACGTTTATTTCGCTGTTATACTTTTAAAATAGCCATATAATTCTTTTATACTTTAATAAATATATAATTTAATGGCCCAACATAACCGATACCTTAAAAATTCCTGAAGTACTCGGTCGGATTCGAACCCGGATCCCCTACAGAGAAATATTGAAGAACTGCAAGGTAAGATTTAAGAATTACTTTGCAACTTGGCTATATCATTGAAAGAATTCCGTATTCGTGTGCCGTAACAATTTTGCGATTATGTGGTTACATAATTCTCTGTATAAATCACATTCTGTGACCATACAGAATGGCGTACTGTTCAAGGGCACCCGGGACAAAATCTGTCCTGAATATCAGCCGTAACGTTGAAAAATTGTGACTGTGTTCTTACACTAAGTCTATAGCAATGTATCCATAGCATTAAAACCTGTGGCTATGTATTCATCAGTGACCATAGCATTAAAGCCTGTGGCTATGTATTCATCAGTGACCATAGCATTAAAGTCTGTGCCTATGTATTCATCAGTGACCATAGCATTAAAGCCTGTGGCTATGTATTCATCAGTGACCATAGCATTAAAGTCTGTGCCTATGTATTCATCAGTGGCCATAGCATTAAAGCCTGTGGTTATGTATTCATCAGTGACCATAGCATTAAAACCTGTGGCTATTTATCTGTATGTTTCCATAATTTAAATTTTCTAAAACAACACAAAAAACTAAAAGTTGTTTCAGCATAAAATGTTTAATTGTAACACACAGAGAGAGAGAGAGATGAACCTACGATTCTTTAAGAAAACCTAAGATTAAACTGCATAAAATAAACAGATTTATTCATATATTGTTACACAGCTGTTTGATTTTTAATATAAAACAAATATTGAATTAATAAACAGGGCTAACAAAGAAGATTTTAGATTACAAATTCATGTTAAGTTTCGAAAATTATGATACGCAAAGATTAATGATGTTTCCTTTCTTTTTTTACTTCTTGACTGCCTGATCTGCCTACGTTTTTCGAATTAATAGATATAAGGGCAGAGTACAACTTATCCTATTTCACTTCAGGTCACGTTGATCAGACACAATCACGTAACGTTTATTCGCGTGTCAAAGAGGAAAAAAACGTATTAAATTACGATTTACACACATAAATAATAATATATTAATACATGCCTTTATTTCGGTTTAAAAATAATCAAAATATTCTGATAAAAAAAAATTTATATATATAAAATTTCGAAATATTTATATAGAAAATGTTCGGTTAAATATTCAAAATTTCAAATATTTAAATTTCCACCAATTAGAAACTAAGTTTGTGTCCCTCTCGTGGTGGTTAAGCTAATTAAATATTTAACGGGTAAAAAAATTTTTAAATTATCCAATCGCTAGCTTCTTAAGCAGCGATTGGATAATTTTAAATTCAAATTTAAAATTTTTATACATAACTGCTGTAATACGTGCATAATTTATTTTTTTTACATACAAGTCGCATATTCACTATAATTTATAAATAAAAAAGAACCAAACACTGTTCTTTTCTTTAAAATATAAATTTTTAAGCATGTTTATACTATAAAAATTCGTTATTATTTCAAATTTAAAATGCTAATTAACCTAAATTTATAAACCATTAATGGTTTTGCTTAGGCCTATATTAATACAAACAAAGCAATAATGACTCGAAGTATTAAACATTAATACATACAAATTATACAAACTTCTTCTAGTATGCAAGATTAATTTTTTTTTAGTTTAAGCTGGAGATCATAAATTTGGGTGCAGATTATGCAAGCTTACACTAAAGATAATACAAAGCTTAGGCTGAAAATAATACAGTACAAAGCTTATGGCTGATGATAATACAAATTTAGAATGTACAGTACTTATACAAGATTATACTGAAAATAATACAAAGCTAAAGTTGTAGATTATGCAAGCTTATGTTGTATCAATAGCTTATACAAGCTTAGGTTGAAGTCTGAACAAGTTTAGGATAAGAATTATACAATTTAGGTTGAAGATTATGCTGATTATCTCCATAATAAATCAGTTTGTTACGCAAATTTTTCATTTATGCTTAAAACTCCATTACTGTTATAAAAGATACATAATTAATGTTTCAAGTTTACATGTTAAAATCTACACGCTACATAAATTATAATAAAAATCGCAATAGTTTAATCATTTTACTACACATTCTTTAATTTGCAACTTGCATAACTTTATATTTACGTTCACCAACTTTACATAACTTAATGGTGTAAATACGTGTAAAGCAAGTTTATTGTACAAAAAAATACCTCCATAAAAATGATTAATTACGACATTTCTTTCTATATGTAGCTGGCAGTTTTGAATGCATAAACAAGCCCTACACTTACGCAAGATGATTGTATAGATTTGCATACAGAATGAATCTTATCTGAGGGGATGAGAGAAGGAAAAAAAAATTGACGGCAATTACGCAAACTTAAAAGACTTTTAACGAACTTTTATCGTTGCGTAATTGAGACTCTTTTTTTTCTGATGTAAGCTTTAAAATTCTTTATCGATAGATAGATAGAAATGCTAATGCTCCACTTTTACCGAAAAAGGTTAAAGGACGAGAGGCCCGCCCCTCGAGCAATCCAAGATAGCAACAACTGACCTGTTTCTACTTCTGTATTCTGATTTTTTCACGTCATCCACCCTTCTTAGTGGCCCATCTGTCAAATATTCGTTATGTCTCACACAGAAACAAAGGTGTGCCCGACGATTAACGCTTCATTATTATCGCATCTTTGGCATTTGTAGGAAGTTAAGATGTACAAAAATTGTCCTGTTTTAATAGATAATGGCGCGTGCAAACACACGTGTTTATTTAAATTACCTTTTTTTTCTCGCCTTTGAAAATATAACTCTTAAATTCTTGTCTAATTTTTTTTATATTTCTTTCCTCATTTAAATTACGGAAAAATCCACATTTAATAGTAAGTTTGGCATATCAATTATTTTATTTGATTCGTACCTGAAGTGCAATATTTTCCGGTAAGATGACGGGATGTCGAGCACTTAAGGTGTCAAACTACAGCTCTGAGGAAACCGGGAACAAATCCGACAGTTATTTTGTATCCGGCAACGTGATACGTGGGCGATCTGCCGAGTGGAAGGGCTTTCTACGGGAAATCGGGCCCTATTTAGGTGAAGAAATCACGGAAAACATCACGTGGCCAGCCCTTTGGGGAGGCGTGAACCCATGACCAACTAACTACCAGTGTTCAGTTAGGCCGCTGGTAGGCACGAATCCCCAGGAATTTTCTGGGGATGGTCCATCCCGGATATGTAGGGTCCCGTCCCTCACCATCTAGTACTGATAATGGAATTGATTTTTAAAAAGGCCTTGTTAATACCCACACGATAGAATCGGCAAAAAATTAAATATTTTCTTGTAAAATGGCTATTTTTCTTGTAGATTATTGACAAGGGTACACTAATTTTAAATCATTTCGTCGTTTCGTGCTAGAAACGATTATTCAATATTTGATGAAAAGGTCAGGCGGTATTATGATGAATGTTAAAGATAAAATCGTGATGACGAGACTACTTTAAAAAAAAATATTCATGTCTTTGGTTTTTCTTGTTTAACTGTTCACTTTTTATGATGTCCTTCTTACGTCTTAATTTTGATTGTCGTTATCACGAACAGTTCCTTAAATATAAAATTTAATGAGTCAATTTTACATCTCTATGTAACAATTATATAATAGTTTATGAAGTTTTACTCATATAAAGCTTAATGTCCCTGCTCTCAGGGTCATCAGGCACGTTATTATGACCCACCAAGTTTGGACTATTATTTTGGCCAATCCCATTTTTCTCCCCAAGAAATGATCAAGTTCTATAACTAAGATTCTAGATAATAGCTTAGACATTTCTTGGAAAAAATTGGTAGGCTGTAATGTGGCTTCCTATCTTACTTGTCAATATTTAGTCTAGGTCTAATACTCGATACTACTAGCTAGAATCCTATACTTGTAGTATAAAGTATTGCATATAAACATTATGTAAAGGCTTACAAAAAAGTCTTTCAAATGCAAGGCATGCCTAGGGCTTCACACAACCTAAAACCGTCACTGAGGACAAAATAAACTTCATTTTAAAAAAGCTCTGTCATATCGTTTTTATTTTATAGTAGTAGATTATTTCAGTAGTATACATGCTTACAGTCGACCCCCCTATAAGATTGTTCATTTTTCCGTTTTATATGCATTCCATGTTGTACGAGTCACTTAGATTTTACAAATACGTGTGCAGGGCTGTGAACGGCTCACATATTTGTAAAATCTAAGTGACTCGTACAACATGTAATTCAGATAAAACGGAAAACTCAACAATCTTATAGGGGGGTCAACTGGTATAATGAATTAGTGTGCAGAAGTAAAGAAAAAAAATGAAAAACAAAACAAATTTAAAAATTAAGCAATTTAAAACTTTATAAACACTACAAGATTATCATCATCATCTAAAATTTTATTAAATATTACCAAACCTTTAAAGTTGTTTATTATTATTTTGGGTGTAAATTGAAAATATCACTTAGAATTCTTTATCGTTTCCAAACTGGTATAATGAATTAGTGTGCAGAAGTAAAGAAAAAAAATGAAAAACAAAACAAATTTAAAAATTAAGCAATTTAAAACTTTATAAACACTACAAGATTATCATCATCATCTAAAATTTTATTAAATATTACCAAACCTTTAAAGTTGTTTATTATTATTTTGGGTGTAAATTGAAAATATCACTTAGAATTCTTTATTGAGATTCAAAAATCTAGAAGAATGTTCTTTCTGTAAAATATTTAAAATTAATTAATTTGTTTCACAAATAAAGAATTAATTTAATTTAAATTACACTGAAATGAGAAAACACTTTAAAAATTAAAAAAAGCATTATGTATTCTATAATATTAAAGATATTATTTTATATCTTGTATAAAGTTTTACTTATAATAAATTTATATTAAGTAAACCTTGTTTCAGGTTTGTCCACATATTTTTAGATCAAATAACTAAAGTCAAAGCAATGTAACTTGTATCATTAACATGTCAAAATGTTGATAAAAGTAGAATAAAGTGTTTCTTTGTTTAAATTGGTATAATTTTTTAAGTTTTATATATATTTATATATAGGTGATCTGTCTCTCATGTCAGGTCCTGTCCCTCAGATAGGGACACCACTATGCCACCCTATTGGGGCTCTGGTCAAATCCATGATGGGCATAGAAAATAAGGCCCTGTATCCACAACAGTCCAAAAAAATCCTGTACTTATTTATGTACAGTACTTACTGCAGGACCATATTTAGAACTTCTATAGCCAAGACATAACATATGAGTCTTTTTGCAAGGCACATAATTAAAGTGTCAGCAGGCATGTGATATGCAAACTCAAGTTTCATTTATACATATTCTTTATTGAGTGAGATCCTTCATAGTACAAAGCATTGCAGCTTCTTTAGCTTACATGTAACATCGTCTTAAATACTTATTAAAATATATTAGGCTCTTTTCCATTGTTACACTGTAGATTGTTCAGCTTCACTAATGCAAAATTTATTGTCTTGTGTATTTATTATTAATATATCAGCAATAAAACGTCATACAAATAAAACTGCATTATATAAGAAATTATCAACATATTTGTAATTTTTCTTATAATATTTAAGATAAAATATAAATATATATTTTCATTTTACCATGTTACAAGATTTATTTTAAATAAATTTAAAATATTTTAAATACAGATAACACTTCTTTTGAAAGTCAAATTATCTTGTATTAACTATTCAGGATACTTTCATTTTCATATATAAGGAAAATATGGAAAATTTAGGTTAGTGAAAGCCGAAAATGCTTCCTCCTCTTTCACATCTACTTTGAGTGACAGCAATGGACGATAATTATCAGCAAATTGAACTTAAAGAATTAATTCGTGATGTGCGGTATATGAAAAAAAGTATAGTAACAATAGCATACTGTATAATTTTGTGCAATTAATTTATTCCTTGTAAATTAAAGGAAATTTTGAATTATGTAGTCATTTCAATCAAGTTAAAATTATTAAATAAATAAAGATTAATGACTTCTGAGACCACAAGTTACCAAATATTCTTTCATAAATTAAAAACTGAACTTTAATTATACTTTTAAACTGCTTTATATTATTTTTACAGGTTCAAGGAATACACTTCCATTTAATATTTATAAAAGACCCTATCAAAATATCCCTGCATTATGTAATATACTTATCTGTCTATTCTATTATCTGTCTGCGGAAGTGTCCTTGCCCTTTCTACAAGAATCTTTCTGTTGCTTTACTAGGTCAACCACTCCTTCTCCCTTAAGGTGAATGATACATCTGGCACTTGAAAGGGAGAGCTACTCCACCCTGATATTGAGGTGAAGGTTGCCTCGCTAGTGACGTTAAGGAACCAATGAGGTAATATCCTCCCCAAAAACTGGAAAACACCTCCTCTGAGATAGTATATAAAGATGGAGTGGATTGCTGAGACGATATCTCCTTCAACAGCTCAAAAATGAAGGTAAGAAATCTTAAGAGCAATTCATACTTAAACTTATATACCTCTTGAGTAAAATATCTATAATATTTTTAAATATATAACTAAAATAATTTTTAAGTATTCTTAATAGCAAATTTTGTGAATTTTTACTTTCAGATAGCAATATTATTCTGTATATTTGCTTTTGTGTCTGCGGGAGACATTGTCTCTCCTGGAGCAGTGAGTGATAGCCAACAGTCTCAAGATGTAAGATTTTCTTTGATATATTATTATTGTTCTACTACAGAATAACTTCAAATTTTAATTTATATTAGGATACTGGTAGTTATTCCTTTGGCTACAACATTGTCGATGAATTTGGGACAAAAGGAAGGACAGAATCTGGGGATGAATATGGAAACAAGAAAGGATCATATTATTTATCAGATGCTGATGGAAGAACCAGACGAGTAGACTATGTTGCTGATGAATTAGGCTTCCGAGCATCAGTTAATACAAATGAACCAGGCACCATGGATAGTGCACCTGCTTCAGTTGCATATTATGCTGAGGGAGCACCCAATGTAGTTATAAAAACCCCAGCAAAAGTAGTTGCTCCTGCATACGCTGCTGCTCCTGCTAAAGTTATTGCACCTGCTTATGCTGCTGCTCCAGCTAAGATTATCACACCAGCTGCGCCAGCTAAAATAATTGCTCCTACTTATTCTGAAATTCCTGCTCCAAGGTATGTAACTCGTTTACATGCTGCACCAGCTTATTCCACACATATTGAACCTGCACCATTGCTGTCTCATGCTAAAGTTGTAGCTCCCACATATGCTGTGGCACCTCCTCCCCCACCACCACCACCAAGGTATGTTGCTCATGCTGCACCATTATTGACCCCCGCTAAAGTTGTAGCACCAGCTTACCATGCAGCACCTCTGTTGTCCACTACTAAAGTTGTAGCACCAGCTTACCATGCATCTTATGGAAGAGTTTTACACCATCATGCTCCTCTGCTATCTCCCGCTAAGGTAATTGCTCCAACATATACACATACTAAAGTTGTAGCACCAGCAGCGCCTTTCTTGACTGCTGGAAAAGTTGTAGCGCCAATACCCACTACCTATTCCACATCAAGCAAAACTGTAGTACACCATCCAGCACCATTGGTGAAGTATCACACTTTTTAGACTTATTTATTTTTAAAATGGGTCAATAATATCGATTATGATAAAGATTTAGATGTGTAAATGTGCCTAAAATGTTACATATTTTGTTAGTAGAATTTTCATAAACTTTCCTATATTACTTTAAATCTTTTCTTCTATATCTTAAAATTATAAAACTCAATGGTTTGGAATATCTTCAGAAATCAACTATATCTGTAGTATTCTTTTGTATTATGTATTACCGCTTTCATTGTGAATTTTTATGAAAAAAAAAATGTATAAAAAAAATTTCAGATGAAATAAAAATTTATACTTATATTTACTATATATGTTTTATTGTATTCAAATTATATTTTTTTACTGTAGAAAAATTGTCTACAATAAAATATGTGAAGCATAAAATTAACTTTTGTTATTTCTTTCTGTTAATAATCAGAAATAATATAAGAATACATATATAAAATTCTTCTACATCAAAACATATACGTTGGGCTTAAAAATTCTTTTTTAATATTTTAAATATGTACTTCCGAGTGAAAAATTTTTACAGGCGAATTATTCGAAAGTTATCTTTATAAAAAACAGTTAAACAAAACTGGAAAATGCATCGTGCATAAATTTTATCTAACTTTTTTTATGTTATAATTGTTATTAACACATGCTTAAACAACAAAATTCTTAGTTAAATATTCTAATTGTAAAAACATTCAACTGACTTATATAAACATTCCATTCTGTACACACAAGCAATAAATCAAGTTTTACATGAGCCAAAATGTGTTTCTTGTTAACAAATACTGCATTTTTAAAATGATTTACCTGCAAAAACAATTGTCCCTTCTAATTCTGAAATGAATTAATTTAACCCCTTCAAAGTTTGTAACTTGTTTACATGCTGCATCAGCCTACACCTTACATACTGAACCTGCATCACTGAAGGCTCCTATTATTGTCTAATTTAAGTTACATTGATAAAAAGCACAATTAGAAAAACAATAAGAAATATATCTAATTCACTGTACTGACACAAATATGTATTATTATATTATATTATGTATATAATATAATATAATAATATACCCTGATGTATATATATTTTAAAAAACAGTTAAAACCAGTTCCAAAGAAGCAACTAATAATAAATAATAACATAATAGCATGAAGATCTTAATTGTTCTTAAAATTATAGCTTGATTAACTGACTTTTGGGCCACCCTATATATGGAGGTGTAATTAAGTCATGCATTGTTCATAATTTAACTGTGCAGTAAGTTTTTATCATTCTTAAGAGCAAGGCTCTCGTGTTTGAGTTAACGTAAGTCAGAGATTGCTTGCGTTTAATAAAAACAATTAATGTTTTAAACTATAATCAGTATTATAAAAACATTTCTTTCAAAGAAAAAATATTTATTAATTAAAATAAAATTTAATTATGTTTATTTTATTTCTTTGGTTTTAAAGCAAAGTAATAAATAGATAGCACTGTTTTGTAAGTATCTACGACAGTTATAAAATACACTTTCAATAGATAAATTAGCATTAGAAATATAAATAACAGTAATTAACAATTTATGTCAAGTAACGAAAAAACACAATATTAAGATAAGTCATTAATATTAGTATAATTAATATATTCACAAAGGCATAAAATATTTATAGTGGATGGTTTCTTGCTTGGCGTCTTAATAATATATAAATTTTTTCTTTAATCCAGTCTTTATTATATGGTGCATAGGTATTTGTTATTCTTTGGTAGCTGTAAAATATAATAATAATAATCTAAAATTTATAAAAGTCTTATTAGCAAAGTAATAACTGCAACTTACACTAAGCAACTCAAGTCAGCTAACTGATCAATAAAATCAAAAAGTTGACTGATGTCGTAAGTTATGGAAGGCGTATTTGGATTACGGCATTTTAGATGCTCTTCAAAAATGTGACAAACACCTGAAATAAATCAAGTTTTTAAAAAGCATATATAATTTTCAATAAAAAATAATAATAATAATAATACATTTATAATTATTACTATACAATTAGTTTAATATTAAATACAACCTCTCAAAAACTGGGTAAATGCAATACAAAGCTACAAAAAGTAATTTGTTGCTTTGTATATAGTTTAATATTAATTTACAATCTTCAGAATGAACAAAAACTTGACAGCAGTTTTAAATGTAAAGTCGACATATCTGCTTATTAAAGACACCAAAGCCATTCATTAATGTACAAACATTTTCAGCCCTTATTAAGCCATATTTTTTAAATTCTATTCCCTGTTGTTCTATTTTAAGATTCAAATACATTCCGTTCTTTGATAGCTAAGGATACTGCACAAGAATTGGATTAGCAAGAGTCTAGTGTAAACAATAATGTATTTTCTTATTCCAATACACTATAGGTTGTTTAAGATTTGTTAAACCTGAGACAAAAAAATTTAATCCAGAAAGTAACAATCTATTCTCATTTTTTTAATATTTTTATCTTCTCTCCAAAATACACTTCGAATCTTAAATCCCAGTTCAGTTGACGTATATGTAATTTAATTTTTTAGTTAAACTTAAAAACATCGTAGACTAATCTTATGATTCAAGTAATTACAATTTGGACAATTTAGTTAATCTTAAAAACATCTCAATTATCTCATGATTCAGGTGAGTACATTATAACTATTTTTTGGTTGATCTCAAAACCAACTGTTACAATTTTATTATTATCCTTTTATGGATTTTATTTTACCTTAAATAAAATAAAATAAAATCTTTTTGTATAATTTAAGTGATGAACTACATAATAGAAAATATATTTTCTTGATAAATCTGTAATAGTTCAGTTTTGGAATCAACCAAAAAAATGATTATAATGAAATTACTTGAATTGCAAAATAATTGCAATGTTTTTAAGATGAACTACATTACCAAATTGTAAGATAATTGTGAAGTTTTAAGAGTAAACCAAAACATTATAATTACTTAAATCGTACAAAAATTGCAATGTGTTTAAGATCAAAAACAAAATTAAATCGTGTGTACTCCAACTGAAGAAAGACAAGGTCCAAAATGAATTTTGGAAAGAAGATACAATATTAAAAAATAGGAAGAGATTGTTGGATTCAATTCTTCTGTCTCAGGTTTAAGTCTTAAACAACCCATATTGTAGAGCAGGGGAATAAGAAAACACTGTGAAAATACTAGACTAGAAGATTGTAAACAAAAATACTTACAGTAAGTTCAAAATACTTCATATTATACATTTTCTTGGTTTACTACTAAGCTCTTCAATTAATTTATAATTCAAAATAATTAATTTTCTATACTTATAGTATATCTATCAACAGAAATGCTTACAGAATCATAGAATACTTTTAAAAAACCAATCTATTAAAGTTCTATCACTCTCTAATGCTGTCAAACTTTCAACTCATCTTCATGAACATAAACAAACAGAAGTCAATCATCTTCATATATTGTTTGATCATGTCATGAAAATAAACATAAAAGAAATGAAAGAATTACAGAACTTTTCCAAATATACACTTTCGAATCACATCTGCTTTTATCTGATATTGCAATTCAAAGATTGAACAGATGCTTTGAAATAAACCTGTTAATCAAAATATTTCAGAAGAAAAAGTGCTTTCAATAATAATAAACTGCTATATAAAATACAGCAAAATATATCCCATAAAATCTTTAGGCAGCAAGGAAATAAACCACGGTATATTTCCTTGCTGCTTAACTTGCTCCTTTGTTTAATTAATGAAAACATTTTCGGCCATTTTATATCCGAAAACATTTGCATTAATTAAACAAATGACTTATTTTCTTGTAGAAAGCTTTTTATAGTGTTCATTGTGTTGAAAGAGTGCTTTATTATATCTATTTTTTATCTTTAAAATTTAATAATTACATCGCAAATTTAGACAAAGGTAATCTTAACTGTACAAAGTGGAAAGACATTCATCACTATATTTTAAGTTTGCTATGTATTGTTAAATTTCTGTCAAATTAATAAATTTAAAACTGCTAACGATTACAAGAGAATTGTGTATATATAATTCTGCAAAACTTAAGATAACAGAGAAAATATTACAGAATATTTTTATTATTACAAAATTTTATCTTACATTCTTTATATATAAAAGAGTTTTTGAAATTTTATAATTATGGATAATCACGGCTTTTCAAATCAAACTGGAACAAAAGAACAAGCATTAAAATATTTAGAAATGATTGTAAAAGATTTAAAAATAAAATAGTTTAATAGGTAAAATTTAGAACAACAGATAAACAATATTAAGATATATACAATGAGTATAAGATAAACTTGTATTTAATACAAACAATATTATTTTTCAATAAAAAAATAGATAAAACAACTTTATTCAGTTTTATACAGCATTTTTGTCACAAGACAATTGAAGCAATGAGATCAAAAAGGAGATTTGTCAATAATTCTGGAGTATATGAGTTAAGACTATTGTGTTTTTACAGAATGAGTCAAAAGACCTTTGCACCTTTTCATTCCAAAAGTATTGAAGATATATTAATTTTGTTAATGTAGTTATGTAAAAAGTCATGCATGGAGAATGTTTTATGCGGTTTGCTTAAGTGTTCATATGCCCTTCGTGACGCACTTAAGATCACCCGAGACAAGAATACAGACACTTACTCTGAATGCTTTATTCGAGGTCCTACTTGAACCGTGTGATCTCTACTCTTATACATTAGTCAGGGCCATCTGTCATGCATGTCCCTCTCTCTGGTATTGACAGATCTTCCCGTAACAGAGAATTTGATGCGATGTAAAATAAAACGTTTTATTCCTCATAAATTTAAAGATGCAAATTATATAGTCCTAAATGTACTTATTTGAATTCAGGAAATGATTTTAGACTTATTAAACTGTATTATTTAACTTTGTCATAAAACTTTTATCTATACTCATTAGAAAGTTACAGCGTAAATGACCTTGCAAATGATGTTCAAGATTTCATAACTCTCCTTGCATTACTTCCTAAATAACTACATGAACAAAATTAATACAGTATATCTTTATTACTTTTGGAATGAAAAATGTGCAAGGAACTTTTGACTCACTATGTATATGAATCTTACACCATTTGATGATAAAAAAAGAATTGCTGGCAGAATTGGTGATACTGAAAATTAATAGTTTAGTTGAAAGAAAATAATTGTCAGATTGCTAGGTTCTAATTTTGTAGTAGTAGTTTACAATGTCATTGTGAACAGTTTCAGTAATGCAACTGAATCAACTCAAAAAAGATTCAGTCAGTGAATTATGGGGTAGTGATGATAGTGTAAACAGCAGGGCTGTGGAGTTGGAGTCGTGGAGTTGGAGTCGTGGAGTTTTGGTGTTTTAGCCGGGGTCGGAGTCGGATGGTAAGGAAAAGTCGGAGTCGGAGTCAGTAGATTTTTATGTGACTCTACAGCCCTGGCAGGGCTGTGGAGTTGGAGTCAGATTGGTAAGGAAAAGTCGGAGTCGGTAGATTTTTACATGACTCTACAGCCCTGGCAGGGCTGTGGAGTTGGAGTTGTGGAGTTTTTGGTGTTTTAGCCGGAGTCGGATGGTAAGGAAAAGTCGGAGTCGGAGTCGGTAGATTTTTACATGACTCTACAGCCCTGGCAGGGCTGTGGAGTTGGAGTCAGATTGGTAAGAAAAAGTTGGAGTCGGAGTCAGTAGATTTTTACGCAACTCCACAGCCCTGGTAAACAGGAGTAACTAAGAACAGGAGTAAATAAGTAACTCGTGGATATCTTAACATTAGTGTATCCACGAGTTTCTGATTTACTCATTCTTTTTCATTATAATTTTGTTATTGGATAGGTATAAATAACGTACTTTCAGTAATTTTCTAACTTTATATACCACTTACAGCAGAAGTAAATGTATATTTTTTAAAATTTTTAATTTATTTTAAAATATTAGTTCTAATAAAATCAAAAAAGAGGAATTTAGCAGCAGTTACTACTGTCATTTTAAAGACACAACTTTCCTAACATTCAAAATAAATAATTTACAGATAAGTTAAAATAAATGTATTTTTGCTAATAAATGAAACAAAATTTTATTTCCAATAGTAGTAACATAACTGGTCAAATTTTTTTGTTTGTATTTTTCTCTAAAATACAAAACCATGACANATACACAACTTTCCTAACATTCAAAATAAATAATTTACAGATAAGTTAAAATAAATGTATTTTTGCTAATAAATGAAACAAAATTTTATTTCCAATAGTAGTAACATAACTGGTCAAATTTTTTTGTTTGTATTTTTCTCTAAAATACAAAACCATGACAAATCCTTTTTTTTAATCTCACTGCCTCAATTCTGAAATATGTCATTTATATTATTTAAAGTAAAATTACAAATTTAACATCAATCTCTGGTTCTGAGAATAAGTAACTATGAATATAATATAAAACTTCAAGAAAGGATGTTTTTGTTTCATATGTAGAATAGGTATTCTTTATATTTCAAATTTATTTTAGAAAGTTTAATCTAAATAAGAAGTGACTCACAAATCAATTATCTGAGACATATTTTAAAAATTATTTTGAATGCAGCAAAATTGGTTTGGAACAGCACCATGTTATTATTTGTGATTCAGACACTTTATGAACAACATGCAGATGTTCCAAATATGTTTTAGGTGTTCTTAAAATTTATCATAGTTAACTGACTATTAACCACCGTACACATCATATGTCATAAGAAATCTATGTACAGATTTTGTTTATAAAAAAATATCATACCTGCAATATTTATTAATGAATTATTTCATTCTTTTTGTAATAAACTATACGAATTATATAAAATTACATGAAAATTATTGTAAAGTTTTTAATTACAAAATTTTATCTCAATTTAACAATCTTAATCATGAACAATTATTTATTGTGACATCGTCACAATGCCAGGC